CACTTTGAGTAAAACCGCACAGCTGAGGCATCAGGCGAGGCTCCCCAAAGGGGAAAGGAGTTTCCCTCTTCCCACTACAGCTTTTTTGAAGAGTCAGGATTTGCAAAAGGATCCTTGCTTTTCAGTAACTCATATCTGTAAGAAGGAGACAATGGGATAAAAAAAACCCCAAAGCCTTGAACGCAACTGAAATTAATGCTACAAAGGCACAGACTAAGTTGATCTGCCCTGTTGGTACAGATAATGGATCTCTTTAGGGAAATGAGTGGCACAGTGCTGGATGAGCCCTGGACACCGGAGTCTCCTTACCAGAGATGCAGATGCGAGTCAGCTGGGGACGGTGGCTGGAGCGATGCTCTGCTACCCCTCTGCCTTGCTGGTGCGCTGACTGAGGGGCAAAGCCAATGCCAAAAGCCCCACTCTGGTCTGGCAGCACATCATGCACCCCCTCTGCTCAATCCCGTGTGGCTGTGACCTCTGGACCTCCAGGCCAGGAGGGTTTATCCCCTGCTCTGCTCCTTGCTTGCTGCCACTGTCCCAGGAGGTACCACCAGCATCAAGATCTCACCTTGCTCTCATCCACTTACCATCGCCAGGCCACTCCACTCCTCCACCCACCGCTGCCCCAGGTCGCTCTTGTGCTCCCCGCCGCGTCTTTATATCGCCTTCCAGCAGCTCATCCTTCTCCCCCACGCAAACACGCTGCCTCCGCGATTGCACAAGAGCCACCTTAGCATCCTTTGGCGGCAGCCGGGGAGGAAAGGACTCTGTGGAAAGTCCGTCCTCCAGCACGGGCGGCTCTTCCCATTAGCCTACAGCTCCTCAACGCTTACCCAATTCACGGCCCTGATGGAATGCCAAACAGTGGGAGTATCTGCAAAATCCCTGGGAATCCGGGGGTTTGTGCATCCAGCTGGATTTGTGGTACCTGCTTTTGGCACAGCAGTAACAACCGATACCACAGTCGCACACGCGAAGGTCAGATAACTGGGTGTACTGGATACACACGGTTTTGTAACCACAACGGACATTTCCTTCAGCAGGTTTTTTTTTAATGACTTCTGACATCTAAGATCTGGTGAGAAGCAAGTGGTGAGGGATGGAGGGATGAGGGCTTGGTCCTACCATGCTTTGTTTGGGAAACAGTAACTAGCCGCAAATAGCAGTAATCACTTGATAGATATTGACTATACGCTGTGCGCCCTCAGAGCTTTAAGTGCTACAGCCACTGTCACATAGCAGCAAGTGTGAACATCCACTCATTCAGGTTTTTTCCTAATCACAACATAAAAACCGAAAACAGAAGAAGTGTTTTGCACCTGACACTGCTTACAACCTCATGAACTACCAATTAAAAAAAAAGGGCCTCCTGCCATCCACTGCTGCCAGGTTCTGGGTGAGAATCTCTGCTTTCCATTTTGTATTTTACGAAGCAGTTAACCATGACAGAAGCTTGCACAGACTCGCTTAGAGATGCAAAGGCAGTGCAGCCTGCAGGCTTAGAAAGTAACAAAGGCAAAGGACGAGGAATGGGGGGAGACACTTTTTTTTTGTTTTTAAAGAGAGTGAAACTCATGAGCCTTGTGGCCTCCCAGGGGCTGGTGGCAAAGCCCTCCTGGTGAGCAGGATTGGCTGCTTCCCCCTCATTTCACCCCCAAATATTCTGGACATTGGGAAAAATTCCTTCCCCGCAAGGGCTGTCAGGCCCTAGAAGGGGCTGCCCAGGGAAGGGGTCGAGTCCCCATCCCTGAGGGGATTTAAAAGCTGGGCAGAGGAGGTGCTTAGGGCCAGGGTTTAGTGGTGGGATGGCAGGGTTAGGGGAACGGTTGGGCTTGGTGATCTTAAAGGGCTTTGCCAACCTCAACGATTCTGTGGTTCTGTGACACAGGGGGCTGCCACCAAGGCGCCTTCTCCTGTGCAGCAGCAGGGTGGGTGTCAGGAGCTTTCTGCCAGGGAGATGCTCAGGCCAGTGGTGGGGAGGGCAGGGGCAGCCGAGGGGGGGCGGGTGGGGCCCCGGGGGAGCCCCCGCGGGCATGGCGGCAGCCGAGGGCTTGCGGGTGGGCTGTGGCTTGCCCAAACTGGTGGGAAGTCTCAGGGGGCCCTA